GGGCTCGATCCCAGGACCCTGGGATCATGACCTGAGCCGAAGGCAGCCGCTCAACTGACTGAGCCACCCAGGCGCCCCTAAATAAAATCTTTAAAAAAAAAATGTATTGCTTGAATTTTGGACAAAGATGTGCTTTTATAATTAGAAATAAATGGTAGGGAAAGAAAAGGAGAATAAATTAATTCCTTTTATCTTATTTGATGTCTGAAGGGTGAGTGACTTTCAGGTCTCGCAGCAGCGTGAGGATCGCACGAGTATCAAACAGTCAGCATGTGTTTAATGAAGGCTTCCTGTTCATAGCACACGGATCTGGTTTCAGAAAAGTTGCTCCAAATTCTACCCAACAGTCTGCAAATGTAGATTCCGTAATATTTCTTTGGTCCTAGAGTTTCTCACTCTAGTAGAAAGTTCATAGGCAGCTAAGTTCTGCCTAGCATGGTGTGTTGTGCAACACGGGGATGCCAAATACCCTGGGCTGAATCGAATTCTGTTCTCCCGAAGAGCTTTTCTCTTCTAAACCTAAGTGAGTCTTACTCAGTGTTCTGTATGTGATGCCACTAAGAACAAAACAGATTTCTAGAGGAGGGTGAAGTTGTGCTCCGTCTCTTCTCTGTGCCCACAGTACTTACTTCAGGTCACGTTGCCTGGATTGCCTTCTCCTGCTGTTAGGATCTTTGTAACGTCCTTTCCCAACTGGATTGTAATTAAGCTCCTTAATGGCTGAGGCTGTCTTATACTTCTAAAGAACAGGACAGGGATATTCCTGAAAGCGTCCCAATATAGGAAGGAGTGAGCAGATGAAAGGAGATGAGACTTGACATTCACTGGGGTTCTACCCTTTATCTTCCAGAACGGTCCAGGCTCTGCAGACGGCATCCCACCTGTCCCAGCAGGCTGACTTGAGGAGCATCGTGGAGGAGATTGAGGTGTGAATTTATTTCGCCAAATTAATTTCCCAGCTCCTGTCTTTGAAACCTTTTAGAAGAGTCTTGCAGATAGACATGCATGGCTTATTCTGGCCAGTTACATTTCTTTTCATATCCATAGCACACTTACGTTCTTTGTATCAGAGCAATACGTCCTGGGGGATATTCGTTAGGGTAGGATAGTTACACTCACTTAGGCGACAAATTACTTTTCTAGCCTTTTGTAGGTATAGGTTCATAGTCCACAGATTTTAGAGCCTAACAAACCTGAAATTCAGGTGTTTTTTCCGCTACTTATTTCTTTGTAATCTCAGACAAATTATTTAATGTCTGAGCCTCAATTCCTTAAATGGTGTTGTAGGAACAAGTGAAGTTTTAAAGTACCTGGTATATAATAAGTGCTCAGCAAGTGGTCACTGTGTTTTTATTACGACTTGATCCTTTCCTTTGCCTGGGACCTCCTGCTGCTCAGAGACTGCTCTCATGGACTACATAGTCTGTGATGTCAGGCAGTCCACCTAGTGTCCTCACTGGGTGCCCCACAGGCACGTTCACTGCCTTGTGTTGCCCAGGAGAGGAGCATGTCTCTCTCCATCCTTTAGAGCATTGAACGAGAAAGAGAAATGCTCTGCTCTGTAGGTTGTATCCAGATGGATGGCCGTGGAATCCATCTGTGTCCCGATGCTTCCTGGGTGCCCTGCAGCCTGGTGTCTTCAGTGCCCTGACTCCGGCGCTTGGGCTTGAGTACCAGGGGTCAGGGAAGGAGTGCTCCCAGGGCTGCGGAAGACACTGTTCTCTTCGGATGCCTGTGGGATATACTTTATTTCTGCCTCAGCATCTTATTTGACAAAGTACTAAATGACTGAGGGGTTCTCCAGATTTAGAGTGAGATTTCTCAAAACTGCCTGAGGTGACAGTGGTTTGCGTATCTCATTCTGTTATCACTTGACTTCCAACATGCTTTCATTTTGTCGTGACAGGATCTTGTTGCTCGCCTCGATGAACTGGGAGGTGTATATCTCCAGTTTGAAGAAGGACTGGAAACGACAGCCTTATTTGTGGCTGCCACCTACAAGCTCATGGACCACGTGGGGACTGAGCCATCCATTAAGGAGGTACCTAACCATTCTCAGGCGTGAAACCCAAAGGGGTTGTTGACTTTATCTGCTAAGAATAGCTTTCTTCAAAGGGGGTATTGAGTTAGGCTTGGGGTGTAGTCACGTAGTGTCTTGGGTTAGGCATTGAAAACGAGAAACAGATGTAATGCCTATCCTCAAGAAACTGGTTGTCTATGGAATGGACAGGTAAACAAAGTGTCACGTTTGCATTATTTTAGTGTTTTACCATTTTTGTCTTAGAACACTTTACAGTTTATAAAGCATTCTTTTGTGTGGCTCATTTGATCGCCATAGGAAATCTGAGTAATATGCCCAGTCAGACTTGGTCCCTCTGTAGAGTGGCAGCGCGACATGTGTGGGAGGACACACAGAGAATAGGTGGTAGCGATGTCCCTAACCCAGGTCTCCCCATGCTGCAGGCTCTCTCCTTCCTGCGTGTTGTGTAGTAGACCTCCAGCCTTGTTACATTTGCTTTAAATGGGGGAGGGTACGTCATGACGTGGTGACAAGAAGGGCACATGTATTACACTAGTGTCACCTCTCTTTTCTTCCTGGTACTCCTTACTGCTTGTCTCTTGAGTGATTTCCATGTCGGTGGCTCAGGCAAACCCTCCTCCTCTTGAGAAGTACGCTGTTCTCCTCCCTTCCACCTCATCCTTGGCAATGGCTAAATCTGAATGAATCTTTGCTGACTGACATAGTTCTCTGAGAGGCGTGTGTATCTACCAGACATCTATCAAGAGTTAATTCTTTTTTGCTTTTCTCTTTGTGTTTTTTTTTCACCCTCAAGAGGAGCTTGTTAACCTGAAAGAACCTTTGGTTGAAATGTGTGTGGGAAGTCTCTTTGAGTTGGACCCTCTTTGTACCCTTTGTGCGTGAGAAGGTTACCAACCCTTGAGCTAAAGGATTTAAAATACAAGCTGCTGTTGTTTTAATTTTAGGAGGAGAGATTTGGGTTCCAAGTTAGAACTTTGATTTCTTTTATGCATTTTGAGTTCTGTGCTGAGTTTCTTCAAGTAAATAGTAATTAATGATCTGTCTTGGGTAATTTGAATTGATTTTATATTTTCTCTGGAGGATATGACCTAATAATTTATTCATGTATTAGCATTCTTCTGTTGTCTTTGGTTCATCCTAAGTGTAGAAGATCTGGAGATACCATATTCTCTTAATTTCTATGATGGGTGAAGTGCAGGAATGTGGGTCTTACAGTACAAATCATTTAGGAACTCTCCTATACACGGCACAGTAGATGATATGGTGATATTCTACATACACAACTTAAACTTTTTCTTGCTTTATTCCCAAGCTTCTACTAACCAGGTATTTGGCTGGAGTAATTTTGCTGTCACTGCTTTTGACATAACCATTCTGGTGAACAGTCACCCATTTTAACATGTCAACAGCCTAGTGATGGAAAAATGTAATTGGTACAATTAAAGAAAATTATTTCATGTCGACTGTGAATAACACTGTCGGGAACAAGGGAGCTCTTTTGTTAGATTGGAGGTTTTAAAAAACAAAACTGATTGAAGTGGAAAATGTTTCCTCTTAAGCAAACAACCTCCAGAATTTTAATAATGCCTTTTAGGTTCCATTTAAAAAAAAAAAAAACTGCTTTTAGTTTTCTTCTCTAAACAGTCCATTAGTTCTTAATGGAAAGTTATTTTAGTTTCTTTCTAATGTACATTTTGGCTATAAGGTTTCATCTTGTGAATTCAAACTTAACTCCAGTATACTGCTCAGAGGGGGGTTGGGAGGGAAGTTAGCTTAGGTGGGAGGGTGAGAGGAATTAGGAAAGAATATATTTTATTCTGGAAGGAGACAAATAGATTTACATGTGAATTTTGATCTTGCTTTTTTTTTTTTTCTTTTCCTGTTATAACTTGTAGGAGTTAACCTTTTAACCTCAGTTTTCTCCTTTGGAAAACATTGGTAATATCAATCTTTTCAGGGTTTTTGTCAAGATTTGAGTTCATGCATGTAAAGCACCTGTCATGGTATGTGACACATATAGTAATCTGGAACATAATTTACTGTTACATATTTTTTGGAATATTCTTTCATATCTCTGTAGTTCTCCAAAGGTACCTTGTATTTGTACAGGAAGCGTTCAGTAAACAGTTGACAGATAAATGCGTGAATTTCAGTTTGAACCAGAGGATAGAGAAAACACCAAATCCAGGTTTTAATCTTAAATGCAGAATATTTGCTTTCCACCCCCCTCTTACCAATTTTGATTAATGGCGGAAAGATCCTCCATGCAAACACCTAGAAACAGGTAAGGAATGACTTGAGCCAGTGGGGAGCGAGGGGTGGCTCTCCCGCCTTCCTGCCAGAGGAGGATCTCAAGCTGCATTTCCCTTTTCTTTCAGGATCAGGTCATCCAACTCATGAATGCCATCTTCAGCAAGAAGAACTTTGAGTCACTCTCAGAAGCCTTCAGCGTGGCCTCTGCGGCCGCTGCGCTCTCTCAGAATCGCTATCACGTGCCAGTTGTGGTTGTGCCCGAGGGCTCTCCTTCCGACACTCACGAACAGGCTAGCCTTCGGGTATGACTTCCGTGTCCACACTGTGCGGCCCTGATCGCTGTTTCCAGTGGAAGGCTCTCAGAAATCTAAGGACTGGTGGAAACCTGATTGTAACCCCCCCGAGGACATACCCATTAAATGTAGAGCAAGGCTCATTTCCCTTAGCTTGGAATTGGGGATATGGCCCCTGGGTGAACTAGTCACGGAACCCTTCAGATCAATCCAGAAAAGGTTTTTTTTTTTCTGGAAGATTTTTTATCGTCAGTCTTTCGAGAAATTAAATGCAAGAGAACTGTATTTCCGGAGTCGTAACACTAAATGTATAGAGAAGTCTTGCTTCTAAAAGGCATTTTCCAGTACCAGAACTTTCTAAATACGGTATTTAAAGACCGCTTTTTAAATTCCCCAGTAATTCTGGTGCTTACAGTTTTTAACACCAGGTCTCTTTCTCCTGCTGTTGGCAGTTTGTCTTTCTACCTCTTCATAGCTCGTCCCTCCCTCTCGCTCAGCAGGAAGCAGAGACTGCTTTTTTTTTTTTAATTTTTTTTTTTTTAAAGATTTTATTTATTTATTTGACAGAGACACAGCGAGAGAGGGAACACAAGCAGGGGGAGTGGGAGAGGGAGAAGCAGGCTTCCCGCGGAGCAGAGAACCCGATGTGGGGGCTCAATCCCAGGACCCTGGGATCATGACCTGAGCCGAAGGCAGCCATTTAACGACTGAGCCACCCAGGCACCCCACAGACACTGCTTTTTTATGGCGACTTTCTGAACAGAGAAAATGCACAGATCTTGAATACGCTTGGAGTTTTCATCTCAAATGAGGCATTTGTTGCTGTTGTTTGGAAATCAGTGATAAGCTAACATCTTCATAAGAAATTAGCATTTTATTTTATTTTATTTTATTTTTTTTAAAGATTTTATTTATTTATTCATGAGAGACAGAGAGAGAGAGAGAGGCAGAGGGAGAAGCAGGTTCCCAAGGAGCAGAGAGCCCAATGCAGGACTCGATCCCAGGACCCCGGGATCATGACCTGAGCCGAAGGCAGATGCTTAACCATCTGAGCCACCCAGGCGCCCAATTAGCATTTTATTTAGGTCTAAACGTTGGGGTTCCACACAGGAGAGTTCCATCGGTTCTACTTTAGTGGCCTTTTCACATATTCTCTTGAAGAAGTGCGCCCTGTCCTTCAAAATTGCCTCTCCTCTCCCTGATTACACTCACACCCCCTCAGCAAAGGCTGGGGTGAGAAATCACCTGATTAACATAGTTCACCATGAGTCAGGAGGGGGCAGCTAAGAGAGCAAAGTAGAAGTATTGGCTTTGTAGCTAGATAGGCTGGGGTTTGAGTCCTAGACCAACTGAACTGGCCACGTAGCCTCAGTTTCTTCATCTATCTCAGATGATTGATAAAGGAGCATGTGTGTAAAGTGCCTATCCTTGACTGAAGAATGAGAGTGTTGGACAAGATCATCTTTAAGATCCTCCCTACCTCTAACATTCTATAATCTATCCCATTACCCATTTCCTTGTATTCTGTGTCTGATTTCTGATAGAACATAGACCAAAGTCAGTGAAGGTGTCTTGAAATAAGGTTCTAACCCCGGAAGAGCTGGCTCCCTGTGGATAAAGCACCCCAGAAACAAAATTTTATACTCCTTCGGCCTTTGTTGCTACAGATTATTTTAAAATTTATTTCTAGTTGCAGGTCACCAATGTTCTGTCTCAGCCTCTGACTCAGGCCACTGTTAAACTAGAACATGCTAAATCTGTTGCTTCCAGAGCCGTTGTCCTCCAGAAGACATCTTTTACCCCTGTAGGGTAAGTCTTGAGCTTATTTTTGAAGGGTATCAATAGACTTGTTTTGCCTGTAGCCAGTATAACCCGAATTAATATGGATATTATGAAATACCCCCAAACCAAATTTACCTAAACTTTGGTTAGGTAAATTTGACTTACTAATATCAAAATTCTATAGTTATATAAGAAAAGGATTTTTAAAGCTAAAAGAGGGGCATCTGGCTGACTTAGTTGGTAGAGCATGGGAATCTTAATTTCGGGGTTGTGAGTTCAAGCCCATGTTGGGTGTAGAGATTACTAAGAAAAATAAATAAATAAACTTAAAAAAAATTAAGCTAGAAGAATTTTTAGTTTTACTCTTTCCTTCCCTATCTATTTCTAGTTGTCTCTGTCATTGTGATGTAAGTAGCCAGTTTTAAATTTAATACTGTTTTTTTCTGATGTATGAGTAATACAAGTTTATTGTAGAAGAAATACAGAAAAACACAAAAAATACAGATCACCCATAATTCTACCACCTGGAGATAACTCCTGTCCACATTTTGTTGTCCTTTTTTGTCAGCCCTTTTTCTATGCAAATATATTTTTAATTGCATTAGGATTATGCTTTGTCTATAACAATGTGTCATATTTCCCCCATAGGATTAAATCTTCTTCAGTCTTTTTTTTTTTTTTTTTAAGATTTTTATTTATTTATTTGAGAGAGAACAGAACGGGCGGGGATGGGGCGGGGTGGTGGGTGGCTGGTGGCAAAGAGGGAGCCCAACGTGGGCTTGATCCCAGGATCCCAGGATCATGACCTGAGAAAAAGGCAGACACTTAACCGACTGAGCCACCCAGATGCCCCTTCAGTCTTATTTTTAATGGTTATATATTGTTACGGACACTTTAAAAGAATTAAGGATGAATTTTTATATGAGACTTTGGTAAGTGTTAAATTGGTAAGCTAATGAGACTGGGAACTCTGAATTTTAGAGAGAATATGTGTTTTTTGTTTTTTTTTTTTTTAAGTAAGCTCTAGGTGCAACATGGGGCTGGAACTCTAGACCATGAGATCAAGAGTCGCATGCTAAAAAAAAAAAAAAGTGTTGCCTGTTCTACTGGCTGAGCCAGCCAGGTGCACCAAGAATATGCATTTCTTAGACAATGATAAAGATACACAGGCAATATGTCAAATTAAAAAGCAAAATCATTTTTAGAAATGCTGAGTGGAATGGTAAAAGACATTTGGGATTTTGCTATGTAGTTAGAGTTAATTTTCTACCCTTTCCCCCCTTTAAAATAAGTTATTGATATTTTCATAAAAGTAAGGTATGTCATTTTTAGGAAATTCACAAAACACAGGAAAATAGAAATAATACAAAAAATTGCCTGCAATTATGCTGCTCTACACCAACCTTTTGAACATTTCTCCTCTCTCTTTTTTTTAAAACATAATAGGGATCATACTGTAGACTGTTTTGCATTTAATTGTGGAAGTCTACCCGAGGGGGGTGGGATTTTAGGATTTTAGGAGCTGAGAGGACAAAACAAAGGAAAGAAGACTTTAGAGACTTGAAGAGGAGGTCATTTTAGATCTCTCTGAAGTTTTGCCCACATCATAATCTGTGATTGAGCAGGAGGTTGCCCAGCTGGGTGGGAAGTTGAAAGGTGAAGATGTGGTGTTAGCCCTGGCTTGTCTCAGGGAGGGTCACGCGCAGCCCATTTGTTACATTCATGACTTTGCTATGTAAATTCTTGCTAACCCTGCTGTCATTCTTAACAGGGATGTTTTTGAACTAAACTTCATGAATGTCAAATTTTCCAGTGGTTATTATGACTTCTCTGTCAAAGTTGAAGGTGACAACCGTTATATTGCAAATAGTGTCGAGGTAAGTGCTTTTCTTGTCATCCCCATTAAATCCACGGAAATGACCAAGTAGGCACACAGCATTAATCGTCTGGTATATTGCCTTCATTTTACAACCAAGTTAATGTGAATATGTTAAGAGAAGCGTAGGTTTAAACTACGCTTTGCCAAGAACTTGATCATAGTGAGTTTTATTTATAAATTATTCATTTTCTATTATGATTTAGTATTAGTATCTCATAAAATTTAGGAAGTAGAAAAAATAAAAATCACCTATAATTTCACTGAGACATAAGTATTCTTATTATGATGTTTTGTGTGGTAGGTCTTGATAGATTTAGAAAAGTGCCTGATACTAAGTAGGTGATGAAAAGCATCCAGTGACATACTGTAGTGAGGCTCTCTGGGTAAAGTACAAAAGAAAATCAGTAAGTTTCTTTTCTTTTTTTGTGTGTTAGGGGTGGGGGGCAGCAAAGCAGTTTATTGAGAGATAGCAAAGTTCTAGTACAAAGCTCCCAAGGAGGGAGGGGACCTAAGAGGGTTACCCGAAAATCAGTAAGTTTCATAATTATGTTTCATGTTTCATGTTTAGCTAACTCTAGTTGTGTTGAAGATCCAAAGTGGTTTTAAGGATGGCAAACTATGCCTCATTTATCTGATGCTTGAGGAGTGAGGTATTACACATCAGTGGTTTTCCCAGCTAATTGGAGTATACCCCTTCAGTCACCATGGCTTTCATTTTAACCTTTTTCATAGAAGTTTATTTAAGATGAATTACATGTTTTCCTACTTTCTTAAACTTATGGTTTGGTTGAAAGATATGGCTATGGTTTAACCACTTCTTATTCTGAATTAGGATCATCAGTATGCACCCTTTATTGAAGGCCTATGACATAAGAAGCCTAGTTGTGTGTGCTTTTGCTTACATTATTTTTGTCTTACAACAACCCTAAGACACGCACAGATCGTTGCACAGAAGAGGCTCAGACGGGTAGAGTAACTTGTTCAGGTCATGCAGCCTGTGCTTGGGTGGATTCCCTGCCCAGGATCAGTTTAGTCAGCGTGCCCTGCAGAGTCTTCAGCCTGCATAGTGGCTGTGGGGCTGTGTGCAGCCCCACCAGCCGGCCTTCCCTTCAGCTGTCATTTCTCAGTGCTTTTGCCACCGTGTCTTCGCTGCATCTGCTTAGTTAATTGTTGTGCCTTCTGTTGGATGAGGGGGACTTGGAGTGGTCCTGCGCCTTTCCTGAATAGATAAAGATATGCTGTTTCAAAAGTGGGGCATTACTTAACATAGGTAGGTTAAACACTAATATTTAAAGTTTGTCAGAAAGGAAAATATTTTCTGGAACTCTTTTCTTCACTTTTCAGGTGTCATTTTCCACTCACTTTTTTAAAAATTTATTTTAATCTTTATTTTTTTAAGTAAATCCTATGCCCAACATGGGGCTCAAACTCATGACCCCGAGATCGAGTCACATGCTCCACTGACTGAGTCAGCCAGGTGCCCATCGTTTTTCTTTTTTTTTTTTAAGATTTTATTTATTTGACAGAGGGAGACACAGCGAGAGAGGGAACACAAGCAGGAGGAGAGGGAGAGAGAGAAGCAGGCTTCCCGCTGAGCAGGGAGCCCGATGCGGGGCTCGATCCCAGGATCCTGGGATCATGACCTGAGCCAAAGGCAGATGCTTAACCAACTGAGCCACCCAGGCACCCTCGTTTTTCTTTTTTTAATAAAATGTTTCATTTTTTTCATTTAGAAATAATTTTGATCTTAAGTTGCAAAAATGGTATGAAGAGTTTCCATGTAAATTTTAGGTTTTTTTTATGTTTTTAAACTTTTTTTAAAAAGATTTTTCATTTATTTATTTTTGAGAGAGAGAGCAAGCATACAGAGGGAGAGGGAGAAGCAGACTCCCCACTGAGCAGAGAGCCCGACACGGGGCTCAGTCCCAGGACCCTGAGACCATGACCTGAGCTGAAGGCAGAGGCTTAACCAACTGAGCCACAAGGCGCCCCAAGTTTTCAGGTTTTAAGGATGGAAAACTATACCTCATTTATCTGATGCTTTGTGGGAATGGACTTAACCAAGTATAGTAGTATAAAGAATGCTCCTTACCCAGCTTCCCCAAATGTTAATGTCTTGTAACTGTTATATAATTATCAGACCCAGGAAGTTTACACTGTTTGCGATACTAGAATTCTACTAGAATAATAGAATTCTACTCTAAGAAAAAGCTATCCCTCTCCCAACCCTGTCTTCATTTATTTATTTACTCAATTTATAACACTTTGGGCTCATGGAAATTTATTTTACTCTGTAGGTTATGATCCTTTCCTATCATCATTTATATTGTTGCTCACATTATCCCAGGTTTGACCTTTAGGAAGCTCCTCAAGTTGGCTCCTATGACACTCACTTTTTTTTAATGAGAGGACAAGGCAGCTGGAAAGTTTGACCTTTTCAAAAGTGGGGCATTACTTAACGTAGGTAGATTAAACACTTATATTTAAAGTTTGTCAGAAAGGAAGATATTTTCTGGAACTCTCCTCTCTGCCTTTTCTCTACCTCATGTCTGACCTTTTTGGGCATGAGACATCTGATCCTAGTCCATTCACTAACACAAAATTTGGGTAGAAACTATTGTAGTGTGCACCTTGAACCTTTAAAATCTAGATCCTTTGAATTTTAGCTTGTCTCATTAAGGGTCCTTATTTGCAGCCGAACACGTTAAAAGGCAGACTTTTCTTTCTTTCATTCTTTCTCCTTAAAAAAAAAATTTTTTTTTGCCTGAAACCTTTTCTTCCTTCTATCTTCACAGTCTGAATAACAACATATCCAGTTTAAGTGCCATACCCATAGGACACAGTTGTTCTTTTTTTTTTTTTTAAGGTTTTATTTATTTATTAGAGCATGAGCAGGGGGTGGGGGGATTGGGGCAGAGGGAGACAGAAAGGCAGGCTCCCCAGTGAGCAGGGTGCCTGATGCGGGGCTCAGTCCTAGGACCCTAGGATCATGACCTGAGCTGAAGGCAGACGCTTAACCAAGTGAGCCACTCAGACATCCCAGGACACAGTTGTTCTTAACCTCTTCTTTCTTTCCATTTCTGACTTCCAGTCAGTCACCAAGTCCTGTTGATTCCATGTTTGAATGGCTTTTGCATGAGCCCTTTGTTCTTCAGTCCCTGTGTTCCCAGTTGGGTAGAGCCCTATATTCTCTTTCAAGATGGGTAAGGGAGTTTCTAACTACAGCTGGCCCTTGAACAACAAGGGTTGCATAGGTCCACTTACATGTGGATTTTTTGACAAATACAGTACAGTACTGTAAATGTATTTTCTCTTTCTTATGGTTTTCTTTTTTTTTTTTAAGATTTTATTTATTTATTTGACAGAGAGAGAGCACACGCAAGCAGAGGGAGAGGGAGAAGCAGGCT